GTTAACTAATAAAGTGGTTAGATATTCAAGAACCAGAATGGTTGATAATGCTCTGTACAATGGTAGAGAAGAAGGAAGAAAACGCAATGGGAGAACACCAACACTGTAACACAAAGTGATGTGCCTTCGGATTACGCTCACATAATCAACTATGGAACATCCTAAACTATTACTCATTTTCTTTTTCATTTTTGATGTACGCGCGACGTTATCATTTGGTGCTAAATCGAAAGGACGTTTGTTCGATTTATTTCGAATTGATCTGAACGGGTTTCGTTCTAGTATATTATAAAAGAATACGATTTTTTTAAAATGTTACCTTATGTTATGGAATCGAGGCGCATAACTTTGTTGTCAAAAATGTAAATCATTTTGCATATGTAACAATTCTGATTTTAGTCATGGCAATATGTATTGATGCCTTTGAACATCCAATAACTATTTCAAATCATGTAACTATTTGGCTTGATAAGTATATTGGTATGATGGGAAGTGATGAGAAAATGAAAGAAAAATTTCGTCAGATTAGTTATCCATTACATACATTTGATGATCCTGTTAAAAGTATCAAATTTATTCGAGATAATGATGACAAAAAAATATTTTTAATTTGCTCCGGTGTATTAGCAAAAGAAATTGTACCTATTGTTTATCAGTTGCCTCAGTTGTATATGATATTTATATTTTGTGCTCAAACTAGAAATCATCGAGAATGGGCAATTGATTATGTAGAAAAAGTACATATATTTAATTTTGATGAAGATCTACTTATATCTGTAAGTTTTCCCAAAGATGAATATGCGATGTTTCTCTCTCGAGAAAAAACAGGCATCTACCTGACACTCAATATGGGAATCTGCAAATCTTAAATTTTTTTACTTAGATTTTGTAAAATAAACTAATATTTCTCTTTGAACGGCAGTGCCGCCTTAAATCTGGTCTCGAACAAAACATTAATGAGATAAGTTGAGAAGTTTTCTCAGTTAACACTGTTCTGATTGAGCTTTTTAGGGAGTTAAAAAGATTTCGATTAAAAAACTGAAAAAGTTTAGACAAATTGAAGAAAATAAGGTTGATGTTTTTTGTAACAATATGATTATCTTTGATAAAAGAACTTAGACTTGCTCTCGACATATTTTATTGAAAAAAATTGTATATCTAGAAAATGGTGAAATTCATTTTATGATTTAATCCTGAGGGGGACTAGAGGGAGTTTTACGACTAAAACATTTCTTTAGACCGGTGAAAACCGGCCGGACCGGACGGGTTACAACTCTGGAGCATCATCCCAGTGTTGTTTTTTGCTTTGAATAGTCCTATGAGAAGCGAAAAACTATGAACATTTGATTTTAGGTGCTTTTGAATCGTTATGGCCATTCCAATCTAGACCGGATCTTCACTTGGAATGCTGACATTGCAGAGCACCATTGAAATCGCTTTCATGCACTTTTCTCTGACACACTATGGGAGCATATAAACAAATGAACGAATAACTAGAAAGCTCTTCCAATTCTCTACAAACTGGTCTATTCACAGTATCTTCACTGATTTGCAAAAGATCATTCACAAGAATTGTGTGATTGAATAAAACAAATATTAAGTGCATTAGATAATATAAAATTAGATAAAAAATTAATTCGACAAGCTTACGATTAATTAATCAATTTAAATGTTTATTATTACATAAAGATGTAATAAAAACAAAAGAAGAAAATATTTGAGAGAAATTCATAGTTGGGCACGTATGTTTAGAAATAAACAAAAAAAATTGATGACATGGACAGAATTGTAGCATCGTAAAAATTTAACTATAAACACAGGTGCCTGAGCCCATGACCGCCGATGCTGTGGCTGACAAACGTTAAAAAAAATGTAAATCTTCTACATCTCGAATCTGGCATTCAAAGGCCGGCTAAGCAAAACGTTCATCATTTGCCAGTTTATTGTTTTTATGTTTAACGCAGCACAAAAACGCAGATTTTCGAAATTGGTAGAACTGTCTCGCACAAAAAAATAACGAATAATTCTAGATCATGTTTTTGAGTCCAAATCGTGACGATGGAATAGAGTCACCAACTCATGCTGACTGATAGCCACCTTCTGCACTGAACTTTTGAAGAGGGGACACTTTGGACAATCTGTCCATGAAAAAAAAATCAAACTATTTGTATTTCAAGTTTTTGAGCTATTACCCGGTTTTCCAAAGATCCTCTAAAATACGTGCTATACGAAAAGATTTTCCAAATGCTTGTCGTCATGAAAACGCCAGGTCTTGGCTTCCAATTGTGAAGACCGCAAGCATCTACCACTTTCCTGTCGACGTTATTCGAGAAACATCCGGAGCTGTTCTTTTTTCTACTGACAATAGTTCCAGGAAAATGGTTCAATCTCACAATTTCGACTTTTTACGGTTCACGCTCTGTATTTGGATTAATTTAATATCTTGTAGCCTAAATGTAAATGTGGGAATGGAAAGAAGGATGTTGAACATTACTTTCTGCAGTGCAGCCTCTACCACAATGAGAGGAAAATTTGAAACACGAACTACATTTTTTAACCACGATTACAGTCGACATACTATTGCTGAATAATCTTAGTCTAGATGATGATTCACTTGCAATTGTTTTAAAAGTAGTTGTATTTTACATTAAGCAAACTAACACATTTGATGATTAGCTAGTAGAATATCAGCATTAGAAAATTAGGTGCAAGCTCCGCGCGGACCAAACTTTATGAAACTAAGGTGGTATATGCAGAATTTCAAGGTGAATCCGACAGCGGGCTTCTTATAATTACATATTGAGTTTTTCATGTGTCGCCACAGTCTCTACGATTTCTTATAGTGAATTTAGGCTGTTTTTCTGTTCTGTCACTTTTTTTCTTCTCTCTTTTCTCCTTTCCATGCGCACATTTT